CAGCTCCACCCCCTCCGCCACCGCTGCCTCCACCTCCACCACCACCGCTGCCTCCGCTCCCACCGCTGCCGCCACCGACGCCTCCTCCTCCGCTGCTGCCACCTCCACCACCGCCCCCGCCACCACTCCCACCGCCACCCCCACTCCCTCCTCCGCCTCCACCGCCTCCTCCACCGCCCCCGCCAGCTCCACCCGCGCCCTTGCCCCCCTTGCCCCTGCCAGGGCGGCGTCTCCCGCTAGGGGCAGACGCCGCGCAGACCGACTCAAGACCAAGCAGGTCGGCAGCAGCAGCAGAGGCAACAGAGGGCAGCAGGGGGGAAGGAGAACACCCCTCAAAGATGGGGGTGCGAGGGTCACCACGAGAGGCTCCTACAGCGACGATGCTCTTCTCCGCCGCCAGGAGGGACTTCTCGAGGAGGTCGACAGTGAGAGTGGTGGGACAGACCGAGAGGTAGTGGTCCCTGACTACGCGAAGGGAGTCAGGGAGGCGTGTGACGATGTAATAGAGAGTGATGTACATGGGGGGGGGGTTCTTGGCGCAGAACTCAGCAGGAAGGGCGGCGCGGTAGCGAGTGTCACTAGTGCGGAGGTGCGTAATGAGGTCAGCGACGGTGGGAAAGGCAGCAAGGTCAGGAAAGAGGTACGGTAGCATGAGGCGGCTCAGGGCAGCAGTGGCAGGGGAAGAGTAGCGCGCAACTACAGCGTCGTACAAGGTCTGAGCACTCTTGTACTGACTAAAGTGCGCGCGCTCAGTGGTAGGCAGGTGGCGACGCACAGCAAGACGTGCAGCAGCATCGCGGGTGGCCCACTGAGAGCGAACAGTGGGGTCAGCATCAGTAGCAGGGGCAGGAGAGGCGCCAGAGGTGAGGTCAAAGAGGGAAAGACCGTCCGCCCTATCGCACTGTAAGAACAGCTGCAGGTCGTCGACCCAGACCTCAAAGTCAATGGCTCGACCCTCAGCGTCAAAAGCGAGGACGCTAGGGGTAGCCATGACGACGACAGACGAGCAGTGCAAGCAGTAGGGGAAGGGCACGCAGTGACAGTGGGGCTGTGCTCACCGGACAGGGCAGGTCGGGCGGCCCGGCAGTAGGGCGGCTCGGCTGCTCAGCGGCTCGGCGGCAGTGCAGCTCGGCGCCCGGGCGGCTCGGCGGCAGGGCGGCTCGGCTCCCGGGCGGTTCGGCGGCAGGGCGGCTCGGCTCCCGGGCGAATCGGCGGCAGGGCGGCTCGGCTCCCGGGCGGCTCGGCGGCAGGGCGGCTCGGCTCCCGGCGGTTCTGCTGCTAGGCGGCTCCCGCAGGTAGGGCGGCGGTTGGGCCGCAGGTAGGGCGGCGGTCGGGCCGTAGGTAGGGGGGCGGTAGGGCCGCAAGTGGGGCGGCGGGCAGGCCGCAGTTAGGGCGGCGGGCGAGCCGCAGGTAGGGCGGTGAGTGGGCCGCAGGTAGGGCGGCGTGGGGCCGGGACGGGCGGCGCGCGGGCGTCGAGGGGACGGGACGGGCGGCGCGCGGGCGTCGAGGGGCCGGGACGGGCGGCGCGCGGGCGTCTAGGGGTCGGTCCGGGTGGCGCGCGGGCGTCTAGGGGCCGGGACGGGCGGCGCGTGGGCGTCGAGGGGCCGGGACGGGCGGCGCGCGGGCGTCTAGGGGCCGGGACGGGCGGCGCGCGGGCGTCTAGGGGCCGGGACGGGCGGCTCACGGGCGTCGAGGGGCCGGGACGGGCGGCGCGCGGGCGTCGAGGGGCCGGGACTGGCGGCGCGCGGGCGTCTAGGGGCCGGGACGGGCGGCGCGCGGGCGTCTAGGGGCCGGGACGGGCGGCGCGCGGGCGTCTAGGGGCCGGGCCGGGCGGCGCACTGGCGTCTAGGGGCCGGGACGGGCGGCGCGCGGGCGTCTAAGGGGCCGGGACGGGCGGCGCGCGGGCGGCTAAGGGCCGTGACGGGCGGCTAAAGGGGCCACTAGGGGCCAAGAGAGAGGGGAGCGCGACCCGGGTAGGGGCAGAGTGCGCTCCGGGCAGGAAAAAAAAAACGGTGGGCCCTAGGAACAGTTCCCACGAGGGAACCTGCTCGATACCATGAGAATAGTAGAACGAGAATGAATGAACTATGAATGAAGTGAGTACATATGGGAAACCCTAATTGGGTTGTACCCCCTATGGGATACCCCACTATAGCCTACACAACAGCATAAGCTATATATATGTTCTGACACTGAACATAAACGTTCAGGAGCTTATTGATGCCATCTATGCCGAGGCACTGGAGAAGTATAAGTCTAAGTGGCTTGAGCGTTTCCCTTGGCTTGTACTAACTAAAACTGTTCGTGGTCTGCCTGCTTTCAAGTGCAGTCTCTGCACCAAGCACGCAGGTGTCAGGGGACGTTGTGGCAGGACAGGCAAAGGTGCGACCGACGTTCAGACGCAGGCGTTTCGCAAGCACGCCGGGACGAGAAAGCACAAGCTGGCACTGGAGAAGCAAGAGGCACTGCTTGCTGCCCCGTCTAAGCAACCCCGCATCGACGAGCATCGTGCAGCGGTCGACGCGGAGAAGATTCGGGTCACGTCACTACTTGACGCGCTCCTGTTTGTCAGCGACTGCGACGCACCCATGGGGACATGGGTGAAGCTGGTGCAGTATCTTGCGCAGAAGGGCGTCCAAGGGTTTCCAAAGAAAGGCTATGGGACGTACTATACCACGTGAGTTGTCATTACTGTTCCTGCTTGCATTGGTTTACTTACATGCGCAGTTTCGTTAATAATATATGTTTGTATTCTTGCAGGTACGGCTACGGCGAACTCACGCAGTCGTTGGCAACGTGGTTACAGACAACCCAACTTGAGCACATCCTCAGAAGCCCGTTCATCGGCATCGCCATCGACGAAAGCACGGATCGTGTCAGGGGGAAGCATCTAATTCTCTACGCCACTTTCGTTCGGGAATCCGTAGTCGTGACGGAGTTCATGCAACTCATCACGGTGGAGAAATCTGACGCATCCACCTTGTTGAGTCTTCTGCTGTCTCACCTGCAGGCCGTCGGTGTCGACCTGCAAAAATTTTCGGGCATCAGCACCGACGGTGCGTCAGTGATGATGGGGAGTCAAGCTGGGCTGGTGGTTCGCCTTCGAGAGAAAGTACCCCACCTCGTCTCGTGTCATTGCATCGCACACAGGTAAGTTCCGTACTGTATTTAGTGACCTACACCTTTTCCCTTTTGTGCGGTGTACTGAAGTTTCTTCTGTCCTTACATGCAGGGAGGCCCTCGCCGCTAAGGATGCGGCAGAAGCTCTACCGGTTTTCAACATGGTAGATGATCTCATCCGCGTGGTCTCGGACCTACTGGGGCGGTCCGGCCCGAAGCACCAGCGCTTCATGGACCTCCAGGAGCTTTTCACCGAGACCAGCTTGGAAGTCCAGGGCATCCATCAAGTCCGGTGGCTCTCTCGGGGGGATGCGTTGCTTCGCATCCTGGCAGTATGGCCAGCTGTCATTGTTTTTCTGAAAGAGTTCCACGCCGCCATGTTTTTGCTCGCCACATCCTACCGGTTCCACTTCTTCATGTACTTTCTTGCTGATGTGCTTGAGCAGTTGAACTTCCTGAACAAGACCTTTCAGCAGCGCCAGGTAATGTTGTGTTTGCGTTTCCCCATGATACCCTTTCCTACTTTGGTAAACACGGCTGACAGTGTCTTCTATTGTGTCTGATGATTGCAGCTGGACCTTGTGTCTCTGCACGCTCAGATCAAGCGCACCACGTCACATATCGAGAGCCGATATGTTGACTGTGGGGACGACTTCGGTGGAGGCTTGAGCCGCTGGCTTTCGCCCTTCATCGAGCGCTACGGCCCAGGAAAGGAACGCGAAGTGACTGTGGAGGGGCCTGATTCCGATGGCAGACCGTCAACATTCGTGTTCGAGCTCCATGAAGAGAAAGTCAAGGGCTACGAAGGCCCCTGTGATCACGACGCCTGCGTTGAGGTCTGCACCGACTTTGCTGAACGAATCGTGGGGAACCTGAAGAGGAGGCTGAGTGACTTAGACTCTCTGTTTGGTGTCCGTCTGTTCCTGCCGGATGAGTGGCCGAAGAGCAAGTCGGAGCGTCATGCACGATGCGTCGAGTGGCTGAACTCGCTGGTGACGCTGTTCAAGGCGCACGCGGCAGAAGACATACTGCCAGGTGAGTTATGTTTTGGGTTTTTATAGTCTCACTGCCATGGTATTGTTTCTCGAGCTCAGCGCGTGAACTCATGCATTGTTTCCCAATACATCCACTTGTGTTATGTCCCTGCCAGGGATCAACAAGCGGCAGGCCCACAAGGAGCTTCGGTTGTTCTGCTCTGTCCGTGCCGCTGCACTGAAGGGGGAGAGGACTTTCCACGATGGCCTCACCGCAATTTTGAAGACTTCGGACTGGCGGGAGAGCTACCCCAACCTCGTGCAGCTGTGGGTAGCCGTGGCGGTGATTCCCCTTAGCACTGTGGAGTGCGAACGGGGCTTCTCTCGCCAGAACGTGATCAAGTCTTGGCTGCGGAGTGGCCTCAAGGATGCAAGGCTGGGGGACTTGATGTGCATGTCTCTGATGCCGTACGAGCCTCAGTACGACGAGGTGGTCGAGATCTGGAGGAGCTACAGGAAAAGGAAGCCATTTTCTAATGCCCCAATTTCCACCCCATCCCAAGGTGAATGCAGCAAGAAGGGAAAAGCAACGGCAGCTATGCAAGTAGATGAACCCCGTGCTGTAGATGCTTTAGGCTCTAGCGATAGTGAAGAGGATGATGATGATGATGAAGAGGATGATGATGACATGTTTCACTAGATTTAATGTAATCGTTTGATATATCAATGCAAAACTTGTAAACTAGGTGTCTTGTCTTGTCTGGGAAAAATGGATCAGGCTTTACCAAATGGTGACGCTGATTGTTCAGTTTTTTTTCCGATATACTGTATGAAAAGTCAGGTTTTTTTATTACAACACCACTGATCGATCAGCCATGGACACACTCCTAAGTTTGACCAGTCAGCCTACGCCAAAACGAATCCGAGGCCCTGGTACCGGGGTCTTTAATACGGGGGGGGGGGGGGGGGGGGGGGGGGGGGGGGGGGGGGGGGGGGGGGGGGGTATATTATTCAAGGCTGTTTTGTTTTCCTTATACCCCCCAATTGGAGTGAAATCATTATAAGACCCCCCCCCCCAACCTTAAAAGTGTTTTGTAGAGGCTAATTCATGTCAATTAAGCAAGTAGTGGCACATGTTAGGCCACAGGAGACAAAATACAATCAACGCAGCCTCTCAACACCCAACTAGCTCCACTCTTCACCCACCACCTTGGAATCCGCCCCCGCCTTGCTACTCATCTTCGTCACCCGCCACCCACTCCTCTACCTCTGCCCCCTCATAGCGACCAGGGGCCCACCATTCATCCCCTTCGTCGCTCCACTCGTCAGCTTCACTCGCGTTTCCATCGTCGGACTCGCTCGAGTCTGACTTAGCAGGTACTGCCTCCTCATCGGCCTCCTCTGCTTCAGCGGCTAACACGACCTCCTCCATCTCGACGGTCACATCGGGAGGGGTGACCACGGGGGCCGGGTAGAACGGGTTGGGGACCAGTTCATCCTGCTCCTCCTCCATCACGTCTTCCAGCACCTCCACCTCGCCGGAATCCCGCACGTGCGCCAGGATCAGATGATCCTGGCTCCCGTCCTCTTCGTTGGAGATGTCGCAGGCGACGACGACACGCCGCTGAAACAAGGAGTCGCTCCTTCAATTTCCGCCATTCGCGAATCTGCTTCGGTTGCACGTTAGCTAGCCGCGCCAACCCTCGGATGCTGAGATCGGGTTGCGTCTATAGTGTTGGGCTGAACAAAGCCCTTAGGATCTTTTCAAGGCTAAGACTTAGAGTAGTGATGTTGTAATTGCGGAAGCGTATAATAAACTTGTTGAGCTGTGGATTCACCTTGCACTAGTGTGTGAGAGCAAGATGAATTGATTAAAGCAAAGAGATACAAGAATATATATATGATTATAAGGAATACGAAGAGGTGTGATTAACTGTTTTTGCTGTTGCGGTTCGATACAGTGACGACTCGGGCAACTGCTCAATACCGAGTTAGTTGTTTGTCCTTGCTGTCGCGCTGTATTTCGTCGAGTCAAAGGTCGCTGACCTTTGACCTTCGCGTAACCTCCAGCTGTTACTTTCTGTCAACCTCCTCGGTTGACTCGCCGTTGCTCCGCTGTGATTTGCCTCGTTTGTTGTCTTATTGTTTCGACACAACAGGAGCATTAAATTACTTGTTTCCAACACTCCCCTTCGCTTCTGGAGTGTCGCTGCTGATGACGTGGCCTTGTCCAGTCAGCAGCATGCAGTACTCGAACTTCTGTTTTCCGAGTTTCTTGGTCAAGTAATCGGCTGCCATCTCGGATGTGGGACAGTAGGATAGCTCAAGTCTCCCCTTCTCGATTTCGTCTTTTACGAAGAAATACCGGAGGGCGATGTGCTTCGTTCGATTCGCGAACCCGTTCTTGTTCGCTATGCGAATGGCCGATTGGTTGTCGCAGAACAGGGAGAAGCTGGGTAACTTAGCCAGCTTTGCTTCTTCCAGTAGTTCGCGAAGGTATAATCCTTCCTTGGTGGCTGAGCAGAGTTCGATATATTCTGCTTCAGCTGAGGAGAGAGCAATTAGCTCTTGCTTGCTCGACTGCCATGAGATAGGGGCGATAGGTTCGAGTCGGTAGATGTAGCCAGTGCGCGATCGCCTGTTGTCTGAATCTCCGGCGTGATTGGCGTCGACGTAACCGATTAATTTAGGTGTCGTAGTTCCGGTCTTGTGGTAGGTTAGGCCGATCGTCGAGGTGCTGACGAGGTAGTGAAGTGCACGGTCGAGCTCCGCCATGTGATCTGCTTCGGGCTTCTTGAGATAGGTGGCGAGCTGGCTCGCTGAGTATGATAGATCTGGTCGACAGGTGACGGCTGCGAAGAGTAGACAGCCTAGCTTTCGTTGGTAGTCGCGAATGCCGGCGGGTTTGAGTAGGGTGGAGGCTTCCTTGCGATTTCCGTTGGTGTAGCGATATGGCATAGTGATGGTAGCTGGGGTTAGTCTGAAACGTTTGGCGATGGTGTCGGAGTATTTCGCAGCGCTGAGGTAGATTGCGTTTTCCCCGTCTTGTATGTTGAGTCCTAGGTATTGTGTCACGGTAGACGAGACGGTGAGTGTGAGGTCCCGCTGTAGCTCCCCTTCAAACCAGGTCGTGACGTCGTCGGTAGAGCCGATGTAAAGCAGGTCGTCCACATAGACTATGAGTAAGATGTAGTCGGTACCCTTCGTAAGACGATACATCCCTTGGTCGTGAGGTAGTTGGCAGAATCCGATGCGGATTAGTCGGGCGTGAAGATACTGCTGCCATAGTCTCGGGGCTTGCTTGATACCGTATAGCGATTTTTCCAGCTGACAGACTTGGTTGGGATCTGCGTTGAATCCGTGTGGTTGTTCGACAAAGATCTCAGCGTCGACGGGAGCATACAGAAAAGCGTTGGCGATGTCGATTTGGCGGAGCTTCTTCCGCTCCATGGCGGCTATCGCGAGGAGAATCCGCAGTGAGGTGTGTCGGCTAACTGGCGCGAATGTTTCGGTGAAGTCTCGTTCGTGCTCTTGGTCGAAGTCGCGCACGACCCAGCGTGCCTTGAATTTGTCTATTGTTCCATCGGTTTTCGTTTTCACGCGGAAAACCCATTTTCCCGTGAGGATCGTCTTGTTGCGTGCCACTCCGATAGGCACGACTTTCCAGGTGTTGCGTTCTTGCAGTGCCTTTAATTCTCTATCCATGGCTTCGCGCCATTTTTCCCTATGTTCCCCCCCCAGAGCCTGCTGAAAAGTGGCAGGCTCTTTAGGTGGTGCCGCTCCATGGACAGCGGTGACGAGTCCCAGTATCTGCAGCCCACTTTGTGTGTAGCGGGGGAGGTTTGCGTCCTCGGGATAAGCTGCTTCATCGCCTGCTTTTGGATCAGGTAAGAAGTTGGGCCCTATGCGTTCGGAGATGTTGGTGTCGACCGTTTGGGGTGTAACGTAACCGTTGTCGGCGAAGTCGTAGTAGACTTCGGCGTTGACACTTTCGCGAGGGTTGTCGTCGTCCATGGGAATGTCTATTGAGCAGTACGGAAGAGGTCCGGCTTCCTCCGAAGCTCCGTCCACGTTCTGCTCATCCCAGTCAGCTTCATCTGCTGCCGAAGTGAAAGCTCGGTTGCCACGGAAGCCGCCCGTGAGGTCTCGATCTGCTGCCAGGTTGTCCAGGTACGTTTGAAGGGAGAGTCGTTCGTAGAAAATGACATCACGTGCTGCTACTGTTTCCTTTGAGTGGACGTCGAAAATCTTCCATGTGTTGTAATGTTTTTCGATGCCCAGATGTAGCCCCCACTGTGCACGTTGTGAAAATTTTCCGGCCCTTGCAGTGTGCGGTCGGTACTGTACCATGCACCCAAAAACTCGTAACTTTTTTGTGTTGCCCAGTTTTCCCGTCCACAGCAGGTGCGGTGATGCGTTGTTCGGGAGCGATGATGACGAGAGCAAGTTGTGCAGCATGACAGCGTGGTCCATCGCCTCGGGCCACGGGTAATTGGGCAGTCGCATGCCATGTAACAGTTTGCGTATGGTGTTCTGGAGGGTTCTGTTCATCCGTTCTGCCACGCCTTGCTGTTGATGGGCGTAGGGAAGCGAGATGAGTCGCTTGATGCCTCGTTCTGCTAGGTATTGCTTGAATCTTTGTGCCGTCTGACTGGAAGTTTTTCAGTTTCGCTCCTGATTCTCGTTCTGCCACAGGTAACCAGACGACGAAGGCTTCGAAGGCCATGTTGCGACTTGGAAGGTTGAGATGCCAGACGTATCGGGTAGCGGCATCGATAAAGGTGATGACGTAGTTGTATGCTCCCTATCCGTGTTCGCGGGTCGCTGTAGACTTTCTCCAATGGTGCGTAAACTGGCGCGGTTGGATTGTGGTGAGATACAAACGCTTGATGAGGTAAGTCAGCTTCAGGACAGGTAAAACATGTTCCTCAGACTCGTTGAAGTTCTCTGCCGTCGGTTAGAAGTAGGGAGTCTTTGTCAAGTACTCCTACCCTGATCGTGTTATTTAACGTTGTGTTGCTTGGATGACCCAATCTTTCGTGCCACAGTGATTCGCTCGCGCGGTGTCCTGGTGAGCGTCTGTATAGGTCGGAGTTGGAATAGAGGCCGGTGGTGAAGTTGACGCTTCTGTGGACTTCTCGTGGAGTGGGAGTTAACTGCTGCGCAGGAGTCGGTGGAGTATCGTCGATGAGAGCTGGTGCCGTTGAAGAACCCGCGATTGGTGTCGTAGTTGTTGTTGCAGCTGCCGATGTTGTCTCTGCTGCTGCCGATGTTGTCTCTGCTGTTGCCGATGTTGTCTCTGCTTGTCGAATTGTTGCTAACGCTCTTGTTCTTTCTGCTTCAGGTATGGTGTGTGAGTACCAAAATCCTTCAGGACTGAAGTCGGGGTCGAGGTCTGGTGGATGTGTCGAAGAGGTGAAGTTGACGATGGCGTCGCTGTCGGCGGTGCCTTGGTCTAGAACGAAGTCAAGGACAAAGACATTGTTCTTCAAGACTGCCTTGCCGATGTAGAGTCCGCCTTTCCCGTGGTACAGCTTGAACTCCTGAGTGGTGCTGTCTGCTTCGAGATGAATTCCCTTTGCCATGAGTTGATTGACGCTGAGTAAGTTATAACCGAGTCCTTCTGCGATTAAGACCTTCGACATTTGGAGAATAACGTTGGTCTCTCGAGATTGAAGTTGAACTATCCCCTGTTGTCGTGTGTGCAGGTTCTGGTTGTTGGCGACGGTGATTACGACTTCGCGCTGAAGTTGGTGTTCCCGTTGAACGAAGCGACCCGAGGAGCACATGTGCTGTCCGCAGTAGCTGTCCAAGAACTAGGTATCTTTTCTGGACGGCTCGCTTTGGGCAATGGCTGCATATGTCGGGTTGGCCTCCAGTGATTCGCGGCGAGGAGTGCTCTCGTTGAGTTGTTCTTCTGGTGAATAGTATGGTGGCGATCTGGTGATGCAGGAGTCTGTCGTTCTTGTCATGCAGCTCACGATGTTTCTTGTACCTTGTGCAGGTGTTGTGGTCGATGTCGTTGAGGACTGTACTGGAGTGGTGGGAAGCGCCTGTGTAGAAGCCACTTGACTGCTTGAGGGCCGAAGTTGACGTTGCGACGGCGTTGACTGCTGCTGATTCGGGCAGTAAGTGCGAGGGTGTCCTGACGTTTTGCAGAGATGGCAGAACGGTGGTACGTACTGTTGAGCTTGATGTTTGTTCTGTCGATTGTTGTTGTTGTTGTAGCACCGTTGAGTATGAAATGCGAACTTTGGTGTTGACGCTCTCTTCTTGTGTCGTTCTTCGTGTAGGTCCATATCCTGCTGTTCAGCGTGAATTTCGGCGCAGAGTGCCGCTTCAGAGATCTTCCCGTGAGCTCGGAGGATAGCTCGAGTGGAGCGCCAATGAGGACCGAGGCCAGAGATGACAACTGTTACGAAGGCTTCTTCG